TTTTGTGCTGACTTTCTCACTTTAAAAGAGCTGTGCATACCCTCCAGCGAGGTCTGCAGAGCTTTATTTTGGATTTCATCTGAATTCCATCAAATTCTATAGAATACATTTCAAGCCTACGGTTTCCCCCGGGGTTTTGACAGGGAAAATTTCCTCGGGGATGTTTTCTGGAGGGAAGCATCATCTCTCCATCAAATGTTATAACTCTGAGTCTCCCACTGAAAACGCTTCCAACGGCACGTGGCTCTTGGGAGATTTCAATGGCGGAACATGGGAAATGGAAGCGAATGTGAAGATGTCACGAGAAGACAGAAGAAGAACAAGGTTGTTTGCAGTGGATTGAGACCGACTTGCATTACTCGGCCTGGTGCCTCTCAGTCCAACATGAAACATTCCAAGGTAGACAATCCCTGGAGGCTCATCCATTTATTCTACTGCCACCCCAAAATGCACTGTCATCTCTGTCACAGCGACTCTGAATCATGGAACTGATTTTATGTCCTTTGTGTCTGGCTCAGTTTCTGTTCTCGGTTACACATAGGAATTCCCCAAACAATTCCTTTGGAGCCAACAAGATTACTGGGGATTAATGCCAAAGGCAGCAAACTGTGGCTTGTGATCTTTGATGGAGAAAACAGACCCATAACACACCCATCACTCTGCTCTGTCCTGTGGATCATTCTGCATCTTTGTCTCACTTTGAAAGGACCCAACAAGGGATCCAAGGGCTGCTGTTTCATGGAATCATCGCTCCTCTCAAAAGCTTTCCCAATAAGAATCTTCAAGGACTAAATTGTGTTAATTTGAGTGAACAGTAACCGGGGCCTGAGACTCCCAGAAGCTCTTCAGCACCCATAACAACCACCAAAGACAATGGGATTTGCAGATGACCAGCAAAAATTGGTTACAGGGTTTAACAGAATTGCTCTCTTACAGTGCTCCAGTCCCAGACCCACAAACTCTTCTCCCCTGCTGTCCTTTGGCAGTCACAGGCTGACAAAAATCAATAATAATAAAAGCTGTGACTTGCATGCAAGCCTTTAAATCACCCAATAGCTGTAGTTGGTTAGTACAGCTCCACTGACTCTCAGTGTATGGAGAATTTTCAGGGCAGAGTCCTACACTGGCATCTGCAATGCAGATCTCGTCTCTCTGCATAAACTTCACCCTCTGTGTGTTTCTGCCATGTGTTTTGCTCTTGCACTCCACACCAAATCACCCCTGGCACAGGCAGAAGCTCTAAATGGAGGCAAGAGAGGTTTTTACAGCACGGAGGGGCAAGAGATCCAAAAGGAATACTTTACCTGAAATTCCCAGCATCACAACTGTATAATTTTTACCTGATTTATGGTTTTTCAACTCCAGCATGATCACAGGGCACAGATGTAGTCCAACTCACATCCCTCTATGCATTTTCCTCTAGTGGGTTTTCCTTTCTTTTTAATGCTTTTGGGTATTTTCCCTTAATCAAAGAAATAACAAGCTCAATCTCACGCTCAGAAACTGGAAAAAGCCTATTCTCCCAGGGAACCCATCCCACCAAAGAAGCTGATAAAGGAGCCCTGTGTTCTTCAGGAAAGAAAGGCAGTGGGGACCAAATGAACATGTATCAGAGGTGTGTGTTGGAATTTGGATCTCTGGATTCACTGCTATTCTTTTTGAATGAAACCATCTGCTGCTGAAAGGCTCCACGTCACTGCTGAACAAAGTTTACTACCTGGACAGACTTACTAAATTACTTTTTTTTTTTTTTTCCTAGGAAATAGGAGGAGAAAAACCAACATGGGAGGCCTTGGAGAGGAAAAAGCCATGGAGAAGGGGTGGACTCAAAGACATCCCCACCCACCCTGCAGAGCTCCTGTCTCCAGGCACTGCTGGGACAAACATGTTGCTTTTCCTTGGTCAGAGCACGTGGAGGCAAATGGAGATGGAGGGAGAGTCCTAAGACCTCGCTCTGAGCTCACCCTTGGCACTGGAAGTTGCCTTTCTTCCCTTCCTCTCAGTCCCTGCCATTTGCCAAGGGTAGGTGTTCAGTGGATGAATCATCTCCACCAGCACTTTCACCTACTTCGCTTCATCCCACTGCAAGATCTGCTCTGAGATGACTGAAATCATTCTGAATCCAAGAAACTGGTCTCCCTCCCATCCTCTGACAGCCAAAGGGGCAAGGACACCACCAGGGCTGATTGGATGGCAGGTCTTTCTGTTAGGAAGGACTTCATCTCCTGTAATTTTAGCTATTAAAAGGCAGGGAAGTGCTCTAAGCAAATCATTTGGGCTCTGCAAGTGAGATGGGCACACAGAGAACTCCTCACCCATCCTGCCATCCGTGGGGTGAGCTCTCAAAGGGGAATCTGCAGGGAATTAAGAAACATTTGAGATTTAAATTGAGAAAACATAGAGGTGCTGCAGTTTTCCTCAGCATGAAAAACTCCTTCCCTCCATGGCTGTACCCCTTAACGAGATGATCAGTGACCTGATGAATGTCAGGTCACCCGTTTCTGATACAAAAGGCTGTGCACTGTTATAAAAATGTGTGTTTTCTCACAGCTACTTTTTTCATAATGAAGGAATAGCACTAAAAATACATCCCATCACATTCTCCAAGGGAATAAATAGGTATCACTCCCCTAAAACCAAGATAGACTTACTTATACCTGCCAGCTTGGGAGAGGGCCCATCACTGGGAAACAACTTCGTGCACATACATTGATACATTAAAATACATTTTATATACCTTAAGTTACATTTTAATATGAATTTATAGGTTAAACCTATATAAACCCACAAAAGGCAGGTAATAGTTCTCTAGCATATTCGATCCTGAATGGTTCTTTATCTTATAGACACAATCTATTTTTTATACATGCAATTTATTTATACATATGACTTATTTTATATATGTTTTCCTATGTTTTTATATATAATTTTGCATATATTCATAAATGTACATAAAAAACCACAAAGGTGGGCTCATATTTTCGACCTTGAATGGGTCTTTATTTCACCATAATAATCTTATCCTGCCCTCCCTTTAAAAAAAGAAAAAATGACATCTTTGTAAAGGCACACAGCCATTTCTATGCTATCGGGACAAAGGATAAGTTATGAAGGAAGTGAACATCAGAAATTATCCTGTAAAGCCAAGGCTGTGGATTTTAACCCTTTCAGCCCTGCCAGGTCTGAGGGGGAATATTTATATATTCCGAGTGTTTCTGCTCACCGTGTCGTCGACTGCGACCGCAGGCCCGCATAAAAATGCCAAGCAATTTTTAGCACGAGCTCAGCGTGGCTTGATGCCACACTCTGCACATGGCACGGAGCCCTTCCTAATAGTCCTCCCTGTTCTACCTCCTCCCTCCCTTCCTCCCTCCCTCTCCAAAAAAACCCCCACCGTGAATGTAAACCTTCAAATCTTTCCATTGAGCGTAATGAAAGGGTGGTTTTGCAGCAAAAAAAAAATTTTGGGGGGGAAGGGGGGTTGGAACATCATTACTCGAGTTCCAGCAGGGGCTGGGAGACTGGCACGGGGTGGGGGGGGAAGCTATTTCAAGTGGTAGTGCCCCCATAAATAAATAAGTAATGACACGTCATGCCAGGATCTGTGCTGTCCTTGGAAAAGGGCAGGCAGGGAACACAGGGCACATTCAGAAGACCTCAGAGATGATTTCGATTGAGAAGATCAAGAGTTATAGATGCCCTTTTTTATACATTATATATTGGCTTTTCTGGGGCTGAGCCTGAAAATGTTTGTACACAGGAGTACGTTTGAGGAGGGTTCTGAGCGTGTTTGCGGGATTACAGGAATTATTTGCTGCCTGACAGCACAATTTTCCTGGCTGTGGAGAGCCATGCTCAGGTCATCAACTACAGCAATCAGAAGGGACTCTGACATCTGCATTCCAGCCTGTGGTGACCACCTACAGCTGGTCCTGGCAGGGCAGTGGGAAGAACCCTCCCCATCAGAAGGTCACAGGGCAGGTCCCTCCAGCCCTGCACCAAGAGCCAGAGCTGCTGATGCCAGAGAATAAGGGATTGGAGTCGCTCCTCTCCTCCTGGATGGAAAATGCTATGTTGAGCATCTGCATCTGTCCTTGGTATAATCATGGCTAGGGCACTGTTCCTGAGAGACATTTGCACCAGGAAGCAGCTTGACACATGGACAAAGTTCCAAGTGAAGTGAAAGGCATGCAGTTAATTACCAGCAGGATCTGACATTTAGAAAAGGACTTTAAACAGGATTTTTAAACAAGATTTAGGCTTGATTTTCAGGCTGAAGTGCTTACACCCAAAACTGAGATTCACAAAGGTCTCCTCAGCCACCTGGCCCTGGAGATCCCAATGTTTTCTAACACATTCCTCCTCCTGAAACTACCACATCTGCACTCATGCTCTGCACATCCAGAACCGACCGGGCAAACACTCCCCTCCTGACAAAGAGCCTCAAAAGGCAGTGATAACACAACACAGGACTCTACACCAAGATCTCCAGAGACATATGGAGAATCCTTAACAATCCTTGACAACAATCCATACTCCTGAAACAAGGCTGTGAGCTTTGTCACCTGGGGAAAAAAAGCAACTCTTCCACGGTAGCCACGATGGCCACAGCTTCTCTGAGCAGGTCCAAGTCTGTGGTTGCTTTAAACAGATCTGAGCCCACCTGCAGCCACAGAGATGTTTGTTGAGCACAAAGCTAGAGGTTGTTCTGGATAGGGACATGTCAGAAAGAAATACAAGGTCCCTGCAGCCAGGAGGACAGCCCACAACCTGCAACCCAGCAGTGAACGCATTCACCTTGGAGAGGGAGGGAGGTCCTGAATTTTGGCCCCACGCCCTGATGGTATTTCAACAGCTCGATGTAAAATGCACGTGCAGACACCAGGGAAGTCACTGCCACTATACCCTGCCCTATCCCAAGGCACAAAGTGACACGCAAAGCCAAGCCCAGGTGGTTCTCCCAGTCCTGAGAGGGTCCTCAGGATGGAGACAGGTGTTACCTCTGCATCCTGGACATCCTGTGGAGCTCCATGTCGTCGCTGCCGCGGAAGCCTTTGGCAAAGGGGTTGTTCTCAATCTTGAGCTGGGTGATCTGAAAGGGAGGAAATGCAACGGGGTCATGGCAAGTCCAAGGCATTAGGCCTGGGAGAGAGGGGATACTGTTTATTAAACTCAATCCCAGTAGGGATGGGAGGGAAAACTCAGCTTTCAGGAACTCAAGTCATCCTTCAGCTCAGGCACTGACCATTCCAGATGGGCCCTCCTCTAGACTGCTCCACTGGAAAAATATCTCCTGTCAACAACCTCTCGCTTCTCCCAAGGCGTGTCCCGTAACTAACACATGGGACTGCATGCACACACACACAGAAATTTCTCTCTGGAGGAAATCTGCTTTCTTAGGGTTCTTACTTCCTTTTTACTGTTGGAACAAAAAGAGCTGCACTGATCAGACGACCAGGGTTGGAAGTCATAATGTCTGAACAAACCCCACTGACACCAACAAGCATTTTCTCATCAACGTGCAGCCCTGACCAAAACCTCAGCTCTCAGAACCAGCATCCTCCCACTCAGACGACTGAAGCTCAGTCTTTCTGTATTTCAGACCAGCTAAATGTGCTCCAGGTGCTCTGCATCTGACCTGCCCCAGTCAGCCCCACACCTATAAGCACTGCATGCACTAACCACCTAAGGTACTTGGAGGGAAACTTCACCTGTGATGATCAAGCCCTGGAGGATTATTTGTCTCCCCAATAATTCCAGAAGGAATTAAGAGGGATGAGTTTGCCCACTTGGTTTGCTCCCTTCAGCTTCTAAAGTTTGCTGGGATCAATCCCCCTCGGACTCAACTTTACAACATCAAAGTTAAACGTTTACAGCAACTGCTGTACAGAAGGTACCCTTACCCAAAGGAACTGTGTCACTCAAAGAGGTGCAATTCCTTCCTTCACATTATTTCTGATGGCTGAGCTGAGCGGGATTTTTCATGCCAGAGATTGTCATTTAAGCAAATACTAATTGTGGACCAACAACACCCTAAAATTCCCTGTAGATCTTGCACAAACCCACTCTGCCATCCCAGATTTGATGCTAACGCTTTGGTGGCTTCGCCGAGCGGGACGGAGTCTGGATCAGGGGTGATGTTGCTGCAACAGTAGAGAGACAGAAGAGGCAACAGTTCCCCTTCTCTTTCTCCACCACTGCCTGGCAGTCTGAGCCCTCAGCCAGGAGTCAGGAGAGCCACTTGCCCAGGAGGAGAGACAACCTCTGTGTTTGCCACTGGAGGAACATCCCTCCCTCACCACGTTTTATGGAAACACTGTCCTTCCTTCCTTCCTATTGAAAGCTGGCCAATGGGAAGGAAAGAGCTCGAGATTGATGGCGGGAAAACAGAGAGAGGTTCATGTTCACCAACTCAAGCACAAACAACTGGACCCACCTCTTTGCCAAAATTCAAAGAGGAAAATCTGGCTCGGCTACTGTCAATAGCAAACCCCGCCAGGTGTCTGCACCACCAGATTATTTGGCCGTTTTCTTGTCTTTTTGGCGTATTTTTTTCCCAAAGGCCGGTTGTTTATTTGCCATTTTTGCCTAATTCAGCCCCAAATCTCTCACAAAGACCCTATCTCCCCCATGCTTGTCCACAAGGCATTCCCATTAAATTGGGACCATATTTAGCACATAAACAGGGCCTTTGGGCTTTTTTTTTTCTGACACACATTTAAGACACCAAAGAGAAGGGTAAACAAACAATCACTTTGGCCATTTGAGCCATTCTCTAGCAATAAAACAAAGGCACATTCTGTAATTAAAAGCCCTGAATAATTACAGAACCAGCTGTGTATTTTGCAAAGAAATAGCCTATCAGTTTCCACTGGTGAGATGGTGGTGACTCTTCTATAATGAATAATAGGCATTATTCAACATTTTGAGTGTTCCTGAAGCACAGTAAATGTACAAGTTGTCCTCCCCAATGGCAATATTTGCTTGCATAAGTGAAGCCCTTCTCTGAGCAAGGATTTACAGTATTGGCACCAGCACACAAATGTACAAAGGGCCAGATTCATCCCAACCTAACCGAAGGCATTTTAACCAAGGCGCCTGCACTAGGAACCTCGTCTCCCAGCGCTCCTGCTGGAATCAGTGGAGGGAGATGGGGACTGCCAGAGGGCACTGGGGCTCTGAGGTGGGTAGCACTGCCTTCACAGGCCCACAGCCCTCTCTGTTCACTGGAGAAGGAGCCGTCAGTGCCCTGGCCCCTGATTTAAGGGCCTCAGATGAATGCCCTGTTTGATTAATCAATCGCCCATGAAATATCAGACAAAATTTCAAATGGGCTCTGGATCTTGCAAATATGTTGCTTTACGAGCAGAGAAGTCTCCTAACCCACATCAGGAACACATGAGCCAAGGGTGGCAGAAAACCCCAAGCGCAATCATGGCTTTCAGCCTCCTTAAAATTAGGGATGTGCTGGATTGAAGACATCTACAAACCAGGGATTACAGAAGGTTTTGAATTAATTCTCAGATCTTTGCTGTACTTAGATGGATTGGAGCTCTCAGAACAGAGATGGTAACCCATGCCATCAGCCCTGGCACGAAGCCAGGGGAGTCCCAGCCGGATTTAACAGAACCACACACAACAAAATAGAAAACAGAGAAAAAGTTAGTGAATCTCTGCTTTGAAAACAACCTGGGGGAGATATTTTGTTTGGCCAGTTTCTACCTGACTTACAAACTATTTCAGAGGTGGAAAAGCAAACGCATGGGTGGAAATAACCTTCCTCTGGATCAACTTTGCCATAGCGAAACTCAGTTTAATTGACTGTAGCTCACAGAGGGGGAGAAGAAAAGCTGTCAGAAAGTCAAATGACAATTACATCATGAAAAATAAAATAATAACAAAAAAAAAAAAAAACAAACAGCTTCTTGTAAGGTCATTAAGACAGAGTGCCCAGGGCTAAATTATATAGCACAAATTCAATAAAACTGTAAGGCTTTGTTTACGTCTTTGTTCTGAGAGAAAGCGATGGCAAAGTCTGCTCTGACCACTGAGTTCTGAAGCTGTCCCAGACCCTTTGAGACAAGAGCTTTCCAGGGTGAAGCCTCCCAGAGTTACACATTTCAGGACCCATCTGACCTGTGGGTTCACCTTCACTATAAGGGGAAGCGACAGCTCCCAGTGAAATCCCAGCGCCGCTCCCCTGCTCTCCCTTCTCTGGGCTAACAGACCACAGCACACCTCTGCTGAGACATTTCCAACAGCATCCTTAGCATGATCAAATTTAGCTTTGCATCTACTAAGATCAAGGAAAAATATTTTTTTCCTTGTTTTTTTCCGGACACGTATTAAATGGGTATTTGCGCCTAAGAACACAGTGTCATTATGGGCAGGATCAAAACTACCACTTAGTATTAGGGGTTTTTTTTTGTCAAGAACTTGCTGTAATAAGATTTTTTTCTCAATTGCTGTTCATTTTAGAAGTTAGGGCAAAGTTAAAACTTTGTTAGGGGTGATGTGTTCCACACCAGATATAAGCCCTGGGCTCCATTTTATTCACTTATTTTACTATCAACTTTTTTTTTTTAGCACTTCAGTTAAGGGAAAGCACACCACCCTGACCTCTTTGGGCTCTTCCAAAACTGTCCTAAAGGTTGGGCATTCTGGAAAAGGGATGGGGATCCTTAGTTTCTGACCTCTTTCTGTCAACAACTGCCCTGCTTGGACAACTTAAAAGTCTGAATGGGGAAAAAAAAAAAAAAAACACCATTCAGGTCACCCCATTCAGTGACCAAGAGGTCGATGTGGTTACCCTTGGGAAGAACACACATGGACCTCCCCACACTGTGGGGAAATATGTTGTCCCTACCCTGCAGGTGACTGTGGTCCTGCTCAATGGGACAGAGAGGGGCCAGGGCCACCCCTGCATCTGTCTGTGCTGAGAGCCACAGGAGGCTGGGCTTGGGGCTGGACAGCACAGAGCCTTTTTCTTTTGCACTTTCCCGTAGCCCAGGTGGAAACCCAGTCAGTGTGGAGGAGGAAGGCGAGCCAGAGAAGTGGGAAAGAGAGAAAGCGATGAAGACAAGGTGCCTGCTGAAACTCTGGATACTTGGCTGGGCCAAACAGGAGCTGAATGGGCAGCTGGGACATGGGAGATCGAGGTAAAGGCCAGGGGAAGGGGGAGATGTGTTGGCAGGGGGGAGAAGGTGCTGAACCCAAAACCAGTGAAGGAAATGGGAGGGACTGAGAGGCAGTGGCTGGTCAGAGGTAGTGGTGTGAGACAGAGGGGCTCTTTGAAGAGGCTGTTGGCTGAACTGGGAGACAAGAACGAAGGATGAGAAGAGACAGACCTTGCACAGTGTTTTGGGGAAAGGAGGTGGGTCAGCAAGCAGGAGTGACACTGGAGAGAGAGACAAAGTGTCTCTTCTGAGATTGAGGAGGAGTGGATTGAGAAACAAAAGGGTCCCGAGGCAGGCAGGGAGGCAGGAACAAGACTGAGGACAGAGAGGCAGAGAGAGACAAGACTGGTTCAGGCACAGGTAGGAAGGACACAGGACCTCTGGAAGGAAGCACTCTCCTACCAAGGCCTGGAGTGGGATTAAGCATTTGAGAGCAGAGATGTGAGGAGCCCCACAGAGAGCAAGTGAGAGATAAGCAGCTCACTGCCATCCTGGAGGGACCGAGGGCTGCACAGAAGGCACCAGCTCTGGCAATGAAGAGGAGATACGTGGTCTCACCTCACTTAATACCAGGGAGCCCCATCTCTCTGTTGGGAGACCCCCCTTCTGAGAAGAGCCCTGAGTAAGGACAGGGGCTGTCCCTTCTACCCATGGAAGTGGGAAGACATGTAGCCAATGACCTCAGGCTGGGCAGCGAGAGCCCAGGGGACTGGACCTGGTCCAATCCCTGCACAGAGGAACAACATGATGAGATGCCAGCCAGGCCACCACACTGGTGGCCTCTGCTGGAGTGATAATGGTGGCCACCTGTAACCAAAGACATGGAGAACTGAGCTCTCAGGAGAAAATATCCCAAGCCCAAGGACCTGCCCACCTCCTGCAGCAGCTACACCTACGCAGCCCTACAAGATGCCTCGACAGAGCAACGAGAGGCCTCGTGCTCAGAGGACGAGCGGCACAGGCAGCTCCCCAGAGTTCAGCAGGATGGAGCACCAGTTGATTTGGCCATGACTTACCAGCACCATTTTAGCACAGGGTCTTTCTAGTGGCAGGCTGAACCTATATATTCAGAAAGCCCACCAGCTGCCTGGGAGTGCAACCCATTATCCTTCAGCCATGCCTTTCCCTGGTCCTCTGCTTTGCTCTGCTGCGTTTCTGGGTGCCTGTGGCATCCCAGCAGGGGCTAACAATTCCTTAAAACAATTCTGGCTACCAAGAATGTTAAATAACTTAGGGGGAAGAAAAAAAAAATCAGCATAAAACCGGATATCCAGAGGAGGGGGACACCAATATAAAGCCAAGTCCAGCTAACGGGGAAAGTAGGTTGTAAAAATTAATGAGAATAATTGTTGTGAATTCTTGCTTTTGAAAGAACCCTCATGAGGGCAGAACCTTAATTATTTCTGTCTATTAGGGTTCATTTCCTGGTCCTAAGCAGAGAGCTAGTACCTAATAAATACAAGCTAGTAACACCATGATTTAAGCTACAGCAAAATGGTACTTAACTGCAGGGGAAGTTAATATTTGGGAATCAACCTGATTGCAAGCACCCATTGTGTAAATGGCAAGGAAATGAAATGTGCATGTGGCCTATTTTAACACCTCGGTATTTCTGGGGTGTTTTTCAGGGTTGCAGAGGTGGGGGAGGTGGTCAACAGAGCTGCTGACAACGGCACTGAAAACTTCACCAAAACTCTCTTCATAGCTTAAGCCTCTTTTTGGGGAGTAGGGCTGGGGAGAGGGAGATCCCAGGGTGCTTAAATATCTTTTCAGGCTGTCTAAAATATCAGGGGAAATAAGCACAGGCCCCTACACTGGGATTGCAGCTGTGCTATTGAAATAAATTGACTGATCTGGAATCAGGCAAGTGTTTCTATAAGCTGTGTAAGCACAGACTCAAATGCATTCGTGGGTGAGTCACACAATTAATACTGTAATATAATTCAGCTATAGCACAGCTCTTGAAACCTAAAACACATGCATGTGTGAATTTGTGTACATATGTGTGTGTGTATAAAAATTACGTGTAAAACGCGTTGGAATCTACAAACTGAACGATTGTGTGGATGGGAAAGTTTGCACAAAGGATGCTCTGCAGGTGATGGGTGGGAGTGAGAGAGAAATGGCTGTAAATAGGGGAAAATAGGCAGGAAAAGGGACAGGCAGACCCTCCCTGGGGAAGTCCATGCATCAGCCACAGACTGGTGGGACTGCAGTAATTTATGGCAGCAAGAAATGCAGTCATGGAAATGAGACACATAAACAGGGTTTGCTGAGCAACATCTCAGCTCTGAAAGCTGAACTCAGGTTCCTGCCGGTGTTTTTTGCCACCCAACTCAGCTGGAGGATGTTACTCCTCGAGCAAAGCAGCATCTGCAGCAGCCCCAATATCATTCTCCATCTGCACTGGGGCAAGCTCCAAATTTTATTCCCTTCCCTGGAGGGAGATGCCATTTAGGGTAGATCATTCCCCGGTTTGTTTTTATGGCTCTATCTTCCTCAGTTGGGTCTTTATCTTGGGGCTACGGCCACGACTCTTTTTTTCTTTGTTCCCCCAATGATTCAGAGCAGCAAGAGGAGGAATGTGTGTGTTGGGGAGGGAGGAGGGATGTAAGAGTATGTAAAATGTGTAGGGGGTGTGTAAAAGATGTCGTGGTGTCTGCGTGTGGGTGATGTGTCTGCTGGGATGGGAGTGTGTGTGTCTGTAGGGATTCCTGCCTTTGTCAGTGCCTATGTTTTGACAGAGACAGATACACAGATGTCATTTCTTATCAAACAGATGTTGCTGATTTACAATCAAATATTCCTGCTCCTCCTAATATGGCAGTTTTCCCAAACTACTGTACTTACATGTTTCTGCTCTGCTTTTGTTTTATTTGCATGACAATTTCTTCTCCTGTAAAACAGTCCTATTTTTTCTTCAAAGCAAAGCAGTTAAATTCAAGTCTGTTTTCTAGTTGGGAAATGCCTTTAAAGTAGGCAGTGTGTCCTGTTTTATTAACTCCCAGTTCTATTAATATTATATTCTTTCTCCAAATCCATCAAGCAGAAGTTAAACTTGATTTTATAGCATCCACAGTGGAGTTATAATTTAAGGCATAATTTGGCGAGGACTCAACTTGGATTCAGTTTGCTTGTCCTGGCTGTGCCAACAGCTCCTATTTTAAAGGGCAGGGAAGTATTTTCTTTTCTCCCTAGTTACGGTGAAACACTCTTTCTTCTCCAGCCCAGCTCCACTCTCTGCATCTATCCCGCCAGTTGATGGATGGAGGAAACCCAATTGTTTCATGCAGTTTTAGGAGTTTCCTACTTTCCATTTCCAGGAAAGCATCCGGGATTTATCTGGGGTGCTAAGTGACTTTCCTCCATTTGCAGAACAATTATTGCCCTCTATCTAGTACAAAGGAGCCACCCTACCTGCCCCTAAGCACAGCTAAAAGCTTGGAGTAAGCGCTTTCTGTGTGATTAAGCGAGGAATTTGGGGGTTTTGCTGAAGGAAATTTGACTTTTCATGGGGCTCTGCCCTACAGAGTGTCTGTGGGCAGTGGTAAGAGGCAGCTGGGGAAAGACATCCCCTATATATGTGTGGATAACTATCACAGTAGTGAACTACCTCAGCCTCCTCCTTCTCTGGATGAGGAAGCCCAAAGCCAGGCAGGGAAGGAGAAGAGGGAATGGGCTCTCCCCGCCCAGCGGGGCAGCCGCAGCACCCCGAGAAAAACCTTATTCCATCTAACCCTTTTCTACTCCACCGTAAGACAAACCTCTTCCATTATTTTCGTGCTTTGTTTGCCTGGGCAGGCAGGGAGCTGATCTCAGGCAGAGCCTCCCTTTCCTTCCCGGGCCTCCCGACAGCCGAGCCCGCAGCCTCCCGCGCCCTCCCCGCGGGGTTATCAGCCCCCGGCCGCGGAGGGGAGCGCCGGGCTCCCTCCTCCAAGATTAGGAGCCTTTGACCCTCGGGGAGGGGGGGGAAGATAAAGGCAACTTCCTCGGTTGGTCGTCTCCATCTGAGCAAACCATCCTGTTG